CGAAAAGTATAAACAGGCAAGTTCAAGAATGTTTTTAGCTAAAATACCTGTGAAAGCCTCCTGATTACTTCTTCACCTTGATTGATGTCAATCGACTCCACATCACTTTCACTTTCCGAATCATCATTGATTTCCAAAGATTCAGTTGATATTGAATGTGATAGTGGTGTAATGTGTATATCCCCAGTGTCTTGGCGAATTTTTTTGAAAAATCTTTCTTCAGGATCATCCTAAAAATATCGAAATATAAAATAATTAGTTCAGTTGATTCTCAATTTCTAGTTAAAAAACTGTTAATTGGTACCTCTTCCCGATCTCTTTTTTTTTTAAGCGGACAATCCAGCATTAAATATCCCACCATTGACCGTTCCGATTCCTAGGGAGCTACCCTTAAATGATGGATGGTGTAAGCGTACTGAGGTGGTAGCGGTCTCTTCACTTTTTCGCGATTACCAATCTTTGATAGCTAGCGATCAGGCCGAGCACCCTAGCAAATTTGGAAAATTAGTAGTATCCTTAACTAGTGCCTTACAATTTCTATCTAACTTTTCATCCCATCAGATCGTCTTAGAGGCTTGAACGTCAGACAATCTTAGAGGTTGCCTGCGCTCCGATGGGGCTAGTACTAGGTCGTCTTAGAGGCTTGAACATCAGACAATCTTAGAGGTCATCTGTGCCCCAGCACTAGCTTCGTGGCTCGACTTAGAGACTTGAATGACAGAGATCTTGGAGGTCCCTGACACGCCACCATTCCTTATCTATAATTTTAGCTAAAAACATTCTTGAACTTGCCTGTTTATACTTTTCGAACAATTTCAGTGCTTTTTCGTGCCTTTTTCCACTCTCCTTTTTAATAATGGCCTGGAGAGAAGTGAGGTAATATCCAATCTTATCAGGGAATTATTGTGCATCCTCGCATTCGTCCAGAAAATCTATAATATTCCATTCTGAGGACTTTCGATCGAAATATTCATGCACCCATTTTTCCGTCATGAGCTTAAAGACAAAAAGTCTCGGTAGTTGAATAGTATGGTTTTACGGGCGTTACAAAACAAGACGGAACCTATAAAATAATGCGTTACAAAAAAGGCGGTAAAAATATTTCGCCAGATAATCAGGAGATTAGGGTAACAATCAACAGGTTACACGATTACATCATGCATGAAAAGTTCCATTATATTGATCGAATATCTGTATACGCAATCGATTTTTGTATCGGCATTTTTCCGGAAACAACCCTCCGATAATAGCACCAATAATGCATTGAAAAAAAGAAAGGAGAGTGCGAAAAAATATATGATTTATTTGTTAGTATTGGTAAAGAGAAAATAAGAGGTATTAGATCATTTTCGGCGTCAAACATTTCAAACTTAAGTCAAGAAAATATTGATTATGTGATAGTCGAAGTTTTAAAAAAGGAAAATAGAATATGATCGTTACTGCGCCAGTGACATCGATGTCACGTCCGAATTCATACATTAATACGTAAAGTCATAATTCTATTATTTCACAACTACACTGGGTGGACAAAAGTCTGCGTCCAAAATGATCAACGTATAGTATGGGTTACAAACTTTAAAGTAATAATTCTAGATAATCACCTAATAAATTTGACGCAATATAAGTTTTATTTTATTTATTAAAGTAAAAGCTATCTATCTATTTACATTAATATCGTGTTGGATAACCATTTGCTTTAATAACAGCTGCAATTCTACGAGGCATACTATCAAATAAATTAATTAAAATATTAGGTTCTATTAAATTCCATTCCTCCTTTAAAGCAATTACCAATTTAGTTTTATTTTTGGGATGATTTGGCCATGCATGAACTCTTCTTTCTAAGACATCCCATAAATGCTCAATTGGATTAAGATCCTAATTTTGAGCAGGTCATGAAAATGACTGAATTAAATTATTTTCTTTCCACTTTTTCACTTGTTTTGTTCTATATACAAGAGCATTTTCATCTTGAAAAAAATATAAAAAATTATCAATAAAAGGTTTAAGATAATTTTCAAGAACTTTTAAATATCTTTGTCCATTAATTAAACTGGAAATCTCAATTAAAGGTCCAAGTGCATTTTGAGAAAAACAACCCCATACTATTATACCTTTTCCACCTGACTTTACAGTTGGTAAAATACAATCTACATCATATTTTTTATAAGGTTTTTGTCAAACCCACTTATATAAATCATTTTCAAATATTAAGTATCTAGATTCATCACTCCAAACAACTAATTGCCACTCAACAGTCCAATTTTTTTTTTTCATTGCACCATTTTAATCTTTTTTGTCTATTTTGTTCTGAAACAAAAGGTTTTCTAACTCCAGCTTAACCATAGTAACCTTGTTCATAAAGCGTATGACGAATAGTCTTATCACTAACTGAAATAGTTATAGCAGTATTGAATTTTTTAGTGATTTGTTTCACAGCTTGTTGACGGTTTTCTTTAACAATTTTGATTACATGTCTAGTTATACAAGCACTCATAATTTTTGGTCTATCTGACTATGGAGCAGTCTTAACTCTTCCAAACTTCTTGTACCTATTAATCATACTTGTAACTGTTGTTCTTGATTGATTTAAGGTTTCTGCAATATTTTTGTGAAAAAAACTGACCTTAAAAAGATCAATTATTTCACCACATTCAAAATCTGTTAACTGAAAACCTTTTTCAATTTTTGAGTGTTTGACATTATGGTGAGAGATTTTTTTTAACTATATATAAAAACTACAGCTTTTAGCTTTCTAACAACATAAATTATTTTTTATTTACTTCCGTATTTATTACACAATAATAATTTAAAGCTGGGCAAAAAATTTGAAAATATCACCATTAATCATTTTGGATACAAACTTTTGTCCACCCAGTGTATATGCAGTATGATATGAATTATAGTATATGCACTGATTAAATGACCCGATTTCT